AATATGTTTCATATGACATTGCTCGTATTCATCTGGATGAAATACACATGAATCATGTACTTCATGACTCCTTCAGGATGACTTCTAGAGAGGTGTTAGCAATAAATGAATTTATGAGATGAGCCTTTTCAATTGGTTTAAATGCTCTAGTCAGTTTATGATTAGAATTTATCAAACCAGACTACCTAACTTTTAAAAAGACTTCCATAGAGATTGGTCATGACATGCAATATATGCTATATTTGAGGGTAATTCTTTTTATACATTAATTCCAGAAGTCAATTGAATACAGTATTTTACACTCTTGTTAATTTTTTAAAATTTTATTAGAGTGATAAAAAATGTGATATTTGATATCTGGAATTGACTACAGAAACTTTCTTTGTAAGGGGTATTAAACATTGACCAAATAATATTTATCTGAGACAAACACAATAATTAATATTGTACTGAAAAAAATATCTAATTAGGGTTTCGGGTTGAGCAAATCTGGGGGTGAGTGAGGAAAGTTGTATTTCTGAGTTCTTGTGGCAAATTTGAATATACTTCTGTCGTGTGCACTGCCTTCACAATCAGCCATAACAAAAGTAAAAAATGTTGAAGTCACATATAATTGTTACATTTTATGTTGGTGATCCATACCGCTCAATGAATGCGATATTTTCATTATTCAATGCACATACATCTACGTGTGTTCCATTGATCACTTCAATATAATTTAAAAAAAATTAACAAAGGTATGTAAATTATTGTATTCATTTGATTTCTGAAATTAATGAATAAAATTATTGTATTTCAACTGCATCCTATCATAAATTTTTATATTCATTTTTTAGTTGATTACAAATGTTTTTCAATTGTATCATATCATATTTTTTTTTATAGCTTCCTTGAACTTTTTCATAATATTTCACTAGCTCTTCTTGTTGAAATAGGCTGTGGGTCTAATTCTCAATTCAACATTCTTAAGACAGAGATCGCAAAATATTAGTTTGACTTTTTTATCTCACATAGCGGATGAATCGAGCTCTTTTGTCTTAACCATTATGTTACTAGTATGAAAAAAATTAAAAAACATAAATATTTGCCACCAAAATTAATTGCCACAACTCAAAAAAAACTAATATTGACATAATATCATCACCACTGCTCTCACACCAAACACCACCACTCCACACCATACCAACATCCTACACATCACATCCACACCACATTAACGCCACCTCCACACCACATCCACACACCACATTACCATCTCCACACCACACGACCAACTCCACACCACACGCAACCTTCTCCACTACATGCACCACCGCCTCCATATAACACACCACATCCACACACCACATCACCAGTTCCACACCACACACTACCCCCTCCACAACCAACTCCACATCACACTCTACACCAAACAAGTAGTTGCAGGAGATTTTGAAAGTACAAGAGAAACACTAAAAACAAAATGGAAGTTGAACTATAGAATGCTTACCATGTCAAAGGATCTTCTTAACTATGAAGTTCAATAACCATGAAATATACACATCAAAATATTCCATTTTTCATCCATGAAATTAAAGGGCTTATCATTGCTATTACACATTACCATCTTTCATCCACAACACCCGAAACATCACTATTTTTTTTTAGCAAAATATACCACCTTTCATTCATTCTTTATGAAAAAAAAGTATACACAACACCCGAAATATTGCTGTTAACAAATCCACCACCATCTTTCATCTATTTTTTAAATTCTCACTCAAATATAAAAATTCATGATAAAATCTCAATTTATATTAATAACATACACAACACCCGAAACAATGCTGTTAACAACTCCACCATATTTCATCCATTATTCAAATTCTCACTCAAATATCAAAATTCTTGATAACATCCCAATCCATATTCATAAAATACACAACACCCGAAACATTTCTATTCATAAATCCAACACCAACTTGTATGGATTTTTCAAATTCCCACTCAAATATCAAAACGATGCTTGGTAAAGCAAGAGCAAGCCACAATCCATCCTTTGGGGTGATAGATATGTAATTATACCAATAAATCCATAAACTAGACAGACCAAAACGAAACTGAAATTGCAAAGCACAAAGCAAACAGAGTTGTAGCCATTGGAAAAAAAGAGAAAAAATGATATCTCCGGTGCTATGTATGTGAAAATCCCAAAAAGGAAATCTCCGTGCAAACCATATTCTCAAAACCACTAAGAATAGATGAGGGGTAGAAGATATCGGAGGAAGAATGAAGCAAATGCCGGAAACCCTCGTCACAGGTGTCGGCGGAAGAAGAAAAAGAAGAGGAGAAAAAAACCATAAGCACAGAGAATGCACGACGAGGCCGAGCGGGGGGAGGGGGGCCACAGGAGTACCAGCAAACCAAAAACCGCAGAAACGTGCTTATCGGGCGCATTTAATAAAACTCATGAAAATCGCACTGCAGCCAAATTGTTGCACCAAACATGCCCTAAGAAACATTCAAGTTTGTTTTTTATAGAAGATAGCAATGATATTACTATTTTATCTTAAATTCTGTCATCCCTTTTGCATGAAGGACTATTGAAACAGGCAAAACTTCATTGAAACTGTTTAGCTGAAGGGACCTTCTACCATTCATCGTATTCATTATTGTGATGCGATCTCCGAATTTCATTGGAAAAAAAACTTAGTAGATGATGGTTTTCAATATGCTTAGAACATTCTTTCCAGATTTAAGTATGTTTTCATTTTCAAACTGGTTTTCCACTCATGTTTGATGTGGGATGTTTGAAGATCTCTATGTTTTTATGATAAAAAATCCGATGCAATGTGATGCGATGGAATGCAAATCTAAATTGGGGCGGTTTGGCTAAATTGTCTGTTATGCAAATTAAGTGCAATCAACTTGGGTTCATTTAATTTTTTAAATATTTGTGAAGGAAATGGACTATGAAATAAAGTATCTAACTTTATTTTAAACCAAACATAAAAATTCTAATTTTTTATGCAGATGTTTTACTTTACATCAACTTCTCACTTAAACAAACAACCTTAATGAGTGTAATTTATGAATTTTTTAATGTTAATGTAAGGCATTCTAAAAGCAAAGTAACCGCACAAGTGAACCTTTAAAAATTATATGGAAGTAACCTTTTTAAATCATAAATTAGCATTGATTATTAATGATGAAGAATAAAACTTAGAAAGAAGTTAGCATGGTTTGTTGTAAGATCTTTCATAAGAGAAACTAGCCCTTTAAATTTTTGATTGTATAAACATTAAATATTTTAATTTCATACAAATTATTAGGAACTAAATTATGTTATGGATATAACCAAAGTCATTAACATAGTTGAACCTCAAGAAAAGTACATCATAATTTAATATTGATATTTCATATTTGACAATCCGAAGATAGACTTAGTCCTAAGACCTAACCTTCGAGTTTTATTGTCATAAACTTTCGGCAAATCATGGTACGTCGATGTACTGGAAGACCTTAAGATAATGACTTGGGTCCAGAGTTGTAACATTCTTAACCTTATCCCCAACCTTTTAAGGTTAGCATATCTTGAGTTGTAACCTATATAAGTCATGGCATATAGGCGCACTCTACATTCGACCTCAGAAGCCCTATTGGTAACGATCTTCCTCAAATGTATTGTACATGATTAATTAGGTCTGATCTGTGAACACGCCTCATAAAGATAAGCACTGTATAAATGCTTAGCTGAGTTTAGTGAAACGTTCAATATTTTCTGAAATCTTATTGAAGGCTCTGAGACAACTTAAAAAGGCAACTCAAATTAGAAAAGGATGGACTGCAACTAGTTCACTTTTTTTGAAGATGAATTTAGACTCTATGTCCATCTTAGTTCAGTTAGAATAACAATTTCAACCAAATCTTAATAAATTTACAGAGCAATTGAACATGGGGAAAATGTTCAATGCCCTTAGGCTTGTTTTTGTTATTGAAAGAAGGCAAAGCGTAAGAGATTAAATATCACTTGTATGATTCTATAGTTACTTAAATTATAGAGGAAATATAACACACCATTAATCAATTTCGACAAAACAGCGGCATATACTATCGAACAGATTTGTGTTTAACTTTTGTTGACCTATTTATCTGTGGTTGTTTGTGACTCTGTTTTGCCAAAGTTCATTGTATTGCCAAAAATCATCACAAATATCAGTGTCAGTCAGTGTATGCTTGTATATCTGTTCGAGACAGGACAAATACTTGACATGGGCCTACCAGTAGTGGCCTTTTCAGTTTAATATAATTTATTTTTTAAACATCATTATAATGGGCAGACCTAGAAACACAGTTAGATTGACTGCACTTTTATCTAAAGGTCATGTCAAGCGTCTGTAATGCATGAGAAGATTGTGGCCACCTTCTCATTGAGCTCCATTACCCTTTATTACTTGAAATAGCTGTGTAGTTGCCTATCTTTTAGTTGAACTCGATCTAAAGATGCGTTGGCATGATTAGGTTTAAATTGATGTAAGATCAAATAATTCAACAAAGGCCTAGGTCCAATTCATAAGAGAGTGTATATTGCACATTCCTTCAAATTAATAGCCCATGCATTATATAAACAAATAATGGCTTTATTATGCAAATTTTGATAAAAAGTTTTTTTTTATTTTTTTTATTTTTATTTTTAACTATACTATCCATTGAGTATTACAAAATGCAGGTTATTTATTATGGGGATTTTTTATTAGTCTCATTTCACGCTTCAGATATTTCCTAGTTTTGGGAGAAGATCCTTAATTAATTAGAATCAGCACTCTTTCTGCTATTTTTTTGGAAAGAGTTTAAGACATTCTCCAGAAATATCTCTACTTGTTAACTGCATTTCTTGTCTCCGTTTTTTTTTGATTTCAGAGATGGCTGTGCATACATTCTACTCAGCATGTCAAAGTGAATTAACTTACTTGCAAATTAATGGCATGATACTTTCTAACTCTCCTATTTCGTTTCCACAGATCAAAAGGGATGGCATCACAAAACTTGTTGTTCTTCCTCTTTACCCACAATTCTCAATATCAACCAGTGGTTCAAGTCTTCGCTTACTAGAGAGTATTTTCAGGTCTTGACTCTAAGGTTGAAATGCCATTATGATGCTTTTAAAATAAAAGGAGAATCTTATATGTTTGTATTTCTGAAGGGAGGATGAGTATTTGGTCAATATGCAGCATACTGTCATTCCCTCATGGTACCAGCGTGAGGGATATATTAAAGCCATGGCAAATCTAATTGAAAAGGAATTGGAAATTTTTGAGAGCAGCCAACAGGTCAGTGTCATATTTGATGCATCTGCAACTTTTATCTTTTTATATACTTTTTTTGAAATAAATATTGCAATATAGGCTGCAAAATACTGACAAGATCCTGTTGAATTATTAATTGGAGAATAAATGAAGGTTATCCCCTCTTTTATTTCAAACACAATTTGGTGATACGCTTGACTAGGAGGCTGTCATTTGCAAGATGAATAGTTGCCTGTTTTTTGAGAGCTAATTGCATAAGACTATTTTAAGAGCATTGGACAATACTTTGTAGTTAAATTCCCTTTTCATATTTGACACATCTGCAACTCTATCTTTATATATACCTCTTTTAGGGAAAAAATTAGCCAGCTACATACTGCGAAGTCCTGTTGAATTAGTAACTGGATTATAAATGAAGGTTATAGGGCCGCCTCTCTTATTTCGAAGACAATTCGGTGATATGATTGACTAAGACGTTGTCATTTGTAAGTTGAAAAGTTGCTTGTTTTTGAAAGCTAAACTGGATAAAGACTATTTTTTAGGAGATTGACAATGCTTTGTATGTGAATTTAATAAATTGGAAACATAAAATATAAGAGAGAATAAGGATGATGCGGGAGCTTACTGTGGACGTAGTAGTGTTGCTGCTACAATACTGTGATCCAGCCCAGGGGACTTGTTGCCCAAAGGGAGAGGATCCTCCCTTTTCAAATTGGTTGCCTCCCATTCCTTTCCTATTTATGTTCCTTGCCCTTTCTATGTCTTCCTATTCTGACTACTAGTAGTTGTTATATATATTATCTCCACTATTTCCATCCTTCCTGCTACTGCCAGCCCCTTCAGGACTTGTTATTTTTCCCGCCAACCCCTCCAAGACTTGTTTCGGTGGTTGCTAGCTCCTTCAAGACTTGTCCTTGCTGCCGCCAGTCCTTTCAGGGCCTCTTTCTGCTACTGTCCTGCCCATAGTCGCCTCTTTCTGCTACTATCCAACCTACAACCGTCCTTTCCTGTTGTTGTCCAGTTCACCACAACCTTTCTTGCTCCCTCCTATGCTGCAACCACCAGTTGTTAGTTTCCTCCCAGTAGTCCCCCATCACTCCTACGCCCTCCAGCGCCGCAACCACCTGCTGCCCGACACCTTCTAGCACTGACACAGCTCTCTCCCTTCCCTTCCGGGCCTGTTGCTCTCCTTTAGAGGGCTGTTTATTTTTTTTGTATTGTTTTCTTTCTTATTTTGAAGAGTTGTCATTGGAACACGTCGTTTGCATGTGTGTTGTTTTATGTTTGAGGATTCGTCATTGTAACTTTTGAATTTAGCAATAAAATTTGACATTCGGTCGTGTTTTGGGTTTACTCCGGTATCATTTGTTATCAGAGTTAGGCTAACCATACTGATATCCTAGGGTTTCTTAGCATCTGCCTTACCCCTCCACCAAAAAATTTCTTTCTTATTTCCAAACCATAGTCAAAATTTGACCTAACCCTTTCAAAATCAGCAACCCTAAATCAATTTTTTTCACTCTTTTTCACTTTCTAAATCTAAATCCTAACTATGTCACCAAAGGGAAACATGAACGAGCCTATCCGAGAGCAGATGCATCGAGAGATTCGTCGACTTAAGTGAAGGCTCACAGAAATTAAGGATGAAATCCAACGAAAGATTTTTCTTGATTTTGATCTAAAGAGTTGAAGGGGGGAATGGGGCGAGAATCTGAAGTCCATATGCCAGCATGAGGGGAAACATAAGATTACTACTTCGTTCAAGATGGAGTAGGAGATACATTGTCAGTTCCTATCAGCTTACTATAAATAGAATGTTCAGACCATAGTTTCAGAAGTAGAGAGACAACATCATCGGACGACCACCACATCTTACAGACAAAGTTCAACCTCAGGATATTAGAGTCAGATTACACTTAGGAGAACATCCAAACTGACCCTGTCAGAGGAAAGCTAATTCAGAGTGGAAAACAGGTGGAATGAAGCCGCATCCCTAAATCCGTCTCACCCATGAAGTGCTTTAGATGCTACAGCATTGGGTATAGTGAGTTGGATTGTACAACTAGTAGAATGATTGCTTCACTGATCAAGAAGCAGTTGAGCAGTTGAAGAAGTGGACAGCGACAACAGACACAGAAGAGAGCGAGGGCACAAAAGAGGAGTACCGACAAGGAAGAGGCATCATTGATTCCTGTTGAACACAAGGGAGAGATTCCAGTTGAGTTAACTGTAGCTATTCTAGAAGGTAGTGAATCCGAGGTAATGAACATTCTTGTAGAGTATGAGGTTATGGCGTCTCGAAGTATATTTTTGTAGGCATTCAGAAGAGCATCAACAAGAGTGACATTGGTTTACCAAAAGAGCTATGAATTTGAGGAGCCGATACTAGACACTTTCAGATAAGAAAATTTCATACTTTTCAGATATGTAGCCTACCTCCTGAGTTGCCCATATTGAGGGAGATTCAATTTGTCAAATATGAGAATATTTTGAGTTACTTCTGGAAGATTCTATGGAGTAGTTCGGATAATAGATTTTGTTTAGTAGTGCACCCACTATCAGATGTTCAAACATGGGAGATGAATCACAACTTTTAAAATTATCTTTTGAGCTTTATGGGGAAGAAAATTCTCCAATGGAATTTTGATCTTTTCAGAGAAGGAATAGAGACCTCTCCTCAGTGGTATACTCCAGTGTGGTCCAATTTGCCACTCAAAGAAATAAATTTTATATCGTATAAAGTATATACTTCGACTTTCGTGTGCTAGAACTTTGACTTGTAAATATAAAAGTACAGTACGCACTTTTATGATAAGATTAGGTTCGGCAATCTTAGAAGGATTTTTTAAGGTTTAGGGTTTACGAAAGCTCAATTTTGTACTGTATTGGGTCATCCTATTAGTAAATCGATCTGTACCAATTAGCGGATACACTCGGACGAGTATGAAAGTGTGGAAGAAGGAAATTACAGATTTGATGACTCGACGCTTGATTCGTGAGGATAGTTATCCACGTACTGTTTTTGGTGGACCGATTCTCGAAGATGGTGTATTTCATACCTTGCTACCAGATATTGGATGCATCTCATGTCTCCGATTTTTCAGAGAAATCGTGAGATTGCAAGGGATTCCCAAAACCATCACCTCCGATAGAGACGTCAAATTTTTGAGCTATTTCTAAAGGACTTTGAGGAGGAAGTTAGACACAAAGCTCCAGTTCAGTTCAGTAGCTTATCCACAGATGCACGGTCAGACAAAGGTAGAAAATAGGAGCCTAGGAAACCTTCTGAGATTATTCGTGGGAAAGAACATCAAACAGTGGGATTTAATTCTAACTCAAGCCGAGTTTGCATACTACAAATCTGTGAGTCAGACTACAGGCTGCACACCGTTCGAGATTGTGTATGATGCAACCCACTCATGCCACTTAAGCTGGTACCACTCTTGACAACATCAAAGATCAGTTTGAATGCTGAAGAACGAGTTCACGATTTTCAAAAAAAATTATGAGGAGGTTGGAAAGGAAAGTACTAAGCAGAACTGTAAATATCAGACAAGACAAATATGTCTAGAAATAAGGTGATGTTTCAAGAAGGAGACCTTGTGTGGATTCAACTGAAGAAGGAAATATTCCCAATTGGAGTGTTCAGAAAACTCAGGGCCAGAGCTGATTGATATTTAGAATGCTTCAGAAACTGAATAATAATGCCTATGATATTGACCTATCAGGGGACTGCAATCTTTCAACCACATTCAATGTGGTGGATCTGACGTTGTATTACGAAGTTTCAGAAGCTTCGAAAGATAAAATCGAAGCTCCCCAATCCCGAGAGCTTCTTCCTCGCTCTCTCGTGAGGCTTATCATGCACCCACTCCCGTATCTTTTGACGCGGGTCTTCTTCCGTGCCTTCTCTCGCGGCTTTAAGCGGGATCTGCCGCTCCCGCTCCTACCCCCAACTTCCCTTTTTGATTCCTACTTATTCTATTCTCCTCCCTTTTCTATTTCTTGTATATAGATAGATAGATAGATTGATTGATAGATAGATAGATAGATGGATGGATAGATAGATAGATGTAGATAGATAGATAGATAGATATGTAATGTTTGCTTAGGTTAGGGAGTTGTTTTGCTTCTCTCTGCTTTCAGACTTCTGCCTTCGGCGTGTCTCCCTTCCGAGGGCTATATCCAGCTGTAACTCGCCCGAAATGGTGACTATCTCTGCTTGTTCCCCTCTTTCTGCCGCTGTCTAGCAGTCCGACTGCCTCCCATCCACCACACAGGCCTTTTTTTCTCCTCTTCCTACTACTGTCCTTGCTTCTAGCCGCCAACCAGCAGCCACACCGGCCTTTCTGTCCTCTTCCTGTTGCTGGCCATTCCCTAGACACCGGTTCTTGCTGTTGTCTTGCCTCTGGCACTTACTCCTGCTGATGTGCAGTCCACCGCTAGCTACCTTATTCCCTTCGCCGCCGCCCCCGCCGCCGCCGCTTGCTGCCAGTCTCCTCCCAACAGCAGGAAAGGTGACAGGCCTTCCTGCTCCTCTTCCTGTTGCTGTTCTCGCTTCCAACTGCCTTCCAGCAGCCGCATCAACCTTCCAGTCCTCTTTCTGCTGCTGGCTAGCCCCTAGACACCGGTTCTTGCTGCTGTCTAGCCTCCGACCTTGATTCCTGATGCTGTCCAGTCCACTACCACCTCCCCTATTCTCTTCTATGCTGCCGCCACTTGCTGCTAGCCTCCTCCCTGCATGTTGCCCTCACTCTGTTTTCCGGCACCGCAGCCCCGGGTTGTCAACCACCTTTCAATTTGATCGCTGCTTTCTCCCTCCCTTTTGGGTCTGTTGCATCCTTTAGAGAGTTGCTTTTGCGTTTTGTACCTTTTCTTTTTCTTGTTTTGCAGCGCCGTCGTTGTTATTTGATGTCGACATGTTTGTGCTATTTTATGTTGAGGATTTGTCATTGTAGTTTCGAATTCAGTAATAAAATTTGTCGTGTCGTAGTTTGGGTTAACTCTGGTATCAAAGGACTTTATATTTTATGCTTTTGAGTAATTTGGAGCTTTGCTAGTTGTGATCTATTATCAATTCATTCTCATACTTCTGATAGATGCATCTGGCTGCTTGACAAACTTGATTTGCTCACAATCTGGGTTCATTGGAATTCAGGTTATGATATTCTTTAGTGCGCATGGTGTTCCACTTGCATATGTGGAAGAAGCTGGGGACCCTTACAAAGCGGAGATGGAGGAGTGTGTAGAGTTGATCATGGAGGAACTGGAGAGACGGCAGATAACTAATGCTTATACACTTGCTTACCAGGTGCTTTGGTATTTTTTTTTTTTTTTGGTATTCTGCTCGTTCCTTTTTCCTTTTCTTTTTTTTATCCTTTTTGTTAACTCGATATGGGATCTTCTACCTGGAAATTATGCTTTTGTTTTCTTTCTTTTTCCTAATTTTTTTTTTCTAGCACATGCACACACCCATATATGATAGGCCTTGAACTTATGATATTGTGGTTGGAGACAAAGTACCCACCCATTAGGCAAAAAGGGATGCACATGATTTTGACCTTGTGCTATAGCGTGGTTATTGGTTTAGGGATACTTATATTTTCATTTAACTATTAAATGGATCTGTATAATTTTTTGCAATATTCCACAATGCAGCTGATGTAAAGAGTTTTACTTGCTGGATTATTTGGTTAGACGGATTTGCTGTTTGGAAGAGAATCCGGTCATGAAATGTTTCTATTAATACTGTGATATTATTACCTTTTACAACTGTGCATTACTCCTATTTATTGCAACTAATAAGTTAACATAACAGCTAAACTAGTTGCAGCTTGTGTTCAAACTAAAAAATGAACAAATTTAGAAGGCAAAATAATATCACTATGTGGAATATTGCTGGGAGCCAGTAATGTCCCGTTTCTTTAACTGGGGGAGAGGAAAAGAGGAGATTGGCAAGTGCAAGAGACAAGACGCGCTAGGGTTTTCATGTAGACGAAGGAGGGGAAGAGCGACAACGGCGTTGGTGTTAGTGTTGAGCAGAGGAGTCGACATCGGTATCGAGCCGTCGAGGAGGAAGGCATCGCGGCTTTGTGAAAGAAGTCCTTGAGTGACTCGCATCTAGCGTGCAAAGAGGAAGAAGGGAGAAGAAGAGGAGCTCGCGGGGTAGGGCACCGAATCTAGTGGAGCTATCACGTGCAGGGTGTGACCAGAGTAAGTTATGTTAATTAATGTAATAATAAAATGAATAGAAATATATATATATATATATATATATATATAGAAAGCCCGAGGGCAAATATATTAATACGAAAAAGATACAAAAATGTTGTATGAGAGGACCTAAAAGAAAGCCCAACTCATACAATATAACACACTCAAAACCCAGATAAAACAAAGATACAAAAATGTTGAAAACCAAAAAGCCACAAAAGGGCACTAAAGTGCTAGAGATGTCCCACTTTAGTCGTCCTGCCTCCAGTTCTCGGAAGTGAGTCGGCTAACAAATTAGTAAGGTGTGTACCATTGTTCGTAATAACCAAAGTATCATCCATCAGATTCCTGAGCTCAAGTAGATCTTCATTTTTCTTTTTCCTCCTAGATGTGTAGACTTGTCATTTCTCATCCGATGATTGACTCATCTGATCAGTAAAATTCCAAAGGTGGTCTGATATAGGTCGTTGCACGTCTTGATTCCCATGAGCCTGAGTAATATTAACATCTTTCTGGACCTGATGAGGCGGTTGTGAAGCAGTAGAAGTATTTCCACTTGTTTTATCACTAATAGGTTCTAGGGCAAGTGAGGTTTGAAGAAACTCCCTCTCCCCCACGATAGGAGGTTTCAAAGACGAGGGAGCTACAACTGGAGATTGAATGATTGTCATATTGCCTGCATGATCAGGAGGAGATGGAATCACAACCTCTAGCGGAGCAAATTTTTTTTTTGGTCTGAGTTGGGGGGTGTAGATGGTGACATTGAGAACATGAGTGTCCGAACGTACGACAGTTTGAACAATACGACGGAAAATGTTCAATCTCTACCTTCTGTCAATGTCCATGGTGTTGTGTGCCCAACCAAATTTCCTCAGAAGCGGGTGAAGTGATGCCTCTTTCAACAAGTACCCTGACTTCAGAAGGATGAGACAAATTAAAAGTAGGAATGTCCGTCTTGAATGACTTCCCATAAGCTGAGGCAATAGAGTACAATATTTTTAGAGAAAAATAATGAAATTTCAGACCAGGGAGATGAATCTAAACCAGAATGATTGACGGTTCCGTCTGTGGGTCAAAATCCACAGACCATTTCAGAATCTTCATTGCTCTGTTATCAATTCATGTTATCCTTCTAGCAAATAAGCGCATGTAATCTTCTTCGTTGCTAATTTGAATAAGAATGTGTTCTCCCATCTAATAATCCAATTTTTCATTCTCCAATGAGGTGCATAAGTTCAAATTCTTTGCGAATGAGCTCCATTTTGAGATGACCATATAGAAATTTTTCAACCAAATTCAGACGACAGGAGGAAGCAAATTGAATACCTTCAGCTTCTGTAATATTTATATATATATAT